AAGAACGAGGAGTGGGAGATGGACCATCTGCATCCGGACTTGCTGAAGTATGCGGCTCTCGATGTCTTTGCATCTCGTTGTATCTTTGATAAGATCAACGAGATCGCGCCTCTTGACTTGGTTCGACATGATACTCCAGCGGGAACCCGTGTTGCCCTTTTAGTTCATGAAGGTGGTGACATAGCGGCCTATGGCAAGATCGCTTCCAATCGGCCCGCATCCTTTTCCGGTGTCAAAATAACTCGGGCGCGTGCTCTTGTTGATATCGAGTCTATTGTCCTTCCATCGGCTGCGGCGATCCTTCATCTCAGTTCTTCGGCTTCGGGCCGCACAAAATCTGGGGCTCTCACGCTTTCTGAGCTTCGATCGCGTTCTGAAGGCCCTGGGCTCCAGCTTGTCAGCCCTCTAACGCTTCTTGAATTTGACCGTCGTCCAGAGTCGGTGAGTTTATATAATGCGGGGGGAAATACCAATATTAAGACATTTTAGGTGACTGGATGCGAACCAAACTCATCAGTACAGACACCTCAAGTTTCTTCGCAAGTTTCTTCTGATCAAATAATATCCGACACGTCTGTAGATGATGAGAGGGATAGCGACGACGACGGAGGCCTCTCGGAGACCGAACCCGACGTAGAAGCTGATTCCGAAATGGCAAGATTTAGTGATGTTCTGGCTTTGGCTTTGGCTTTTTGGCTTTGGCTTGGCCTCGGAAAATCTCAAGCCAGGCCAGGGCCAAACTTTTGGCTTTGGCCTGGCTTTGGCTTGGCTTGGCCTGAGCCATGGCTTTTGGCAGGGAAATCAGCTTGAATTTGGCTTTGGCCCGGATAAATCCCAGGCCAGGCCAAAGCCAACCCCAGCCAAAGCCAGAACAAGCCAAAGCCAAGCCAAAAAGCCATGGCTTTTTGGCCTGAGGCCAAAGCCAGAACATCACTAGCAAGATTACAGATGTTAGAAGCCCATACCCAAATTAACGTGGATCCAAAAGGTTCGTTATTGTTCTGCATGCACTGATGAATTTTTGCTTACCACTTTTACAACAATAGGGAAGAAACAAGCGCAACCTGATGAACTCAGTGAAGATGAGTTCGATTTGTCCCCACTTGGCACCGGGCTCCTGGAAATACTGCGGAAATTAGTCGATAGTCCGGCCGACATGGATTCAATCTACACAAGGATCAAGAAAGATATTTTTCATGCCTTTCATATGATCCCTATTTCTGCACATGGATTGCGGGCCGCGTTTTTCCGGACTCTTCGGGACCACATCATGCGCTAGGATCCAGCGTCACGTCTAATTGTAGATGCAACGTGCCGCCGCGTCTTCAACGTTACATTTGAAGTCATGCTCATCCGCGACCCTCGTTGGATTCAAGAACGTGTTCCGCGGTATATCCCGCCGCCCAGCGTTCTAGTCGCTGCCATACAGCATGTCTACAACGTTTTCGGAAATGCGATTGACGCCGAGTCTGGTCGGCCCTTGTTTAACGACCTTGCATGGCAGAAGGCCAATGCCGTTCTCGAATTAGCGCGGGAGGGGTATCTCTCTGATATCGATGGGGTTGTTCTTTACGAGAAGGCTGGCGTGGACGAGTATGGTCTGCAGAAGTGGAACTGTGACCGGGGCACGAACAAAGTCGAAGGTGGACCACATGGTGATATATATCGAAAATTTGGGGCTTTGAATGGCGAGTGTTCTTCTATGTTTCTTCTCCGGATTATTTTCTTATGATCTGTGTCTGCCAGCTGGCCCTCGCCTCACCGTGAATTCATTGACAGATCATCGAACCCGATACAACCTCCAGGTGTGTTGATTAATAAGCACAGCGGCTGGTGCGCGACTCACTAGCCTTACTTAGGCTTACGCCAAACACCAGTTTGGTGTTGACTGGGATTATCACTACACGCTCTCGATGCTCAACCGCACCTCATTTTTGCTGAATTATCTCTCTGATGCCCTTGACGGAGCATCTTCCTATTCCGATTGGACTAACACGGATTTGTATGAACGCACCAGCGAGAAATTTGGAATCTGCCCCGTCCCTGGTACGAATATTTTTAACTTCTCGTGTGTTTAAATGGTTGAATCCATCCTTTAGAATCACTTCGTGTTCGCCTCGATATGGCACCTTACACTCCAGATGCTGCATCAAAGTTCGAGCTGAATTCTAGCGATGACTGGTTGCGACGTCGGCAAGGACTCGCACTGCCGATATTACCTCCGACGACTCTAGATGCCTGGAAATACTTTTTCACCCAGCTTCGGACGTTTACAGCTCTGGCTAGCAATGCTGGTCGGAAAACAATTGACTTCAACTCATTTGCTCAAGAATGGAACCGCTCTGCCGATGGAAAGACATGCTACTACGTAACTGGAGACGTCCTAAGTAGCTATTCAAAGACCTGGGACAAAATCAGCAATATCCGAGCACCACAGGATTTAATTGCGGGGAGGATGGATTTAGTGCGTCAAACCGGAGAATTATTTTCAGCACCTACCCTATCCTTTCCGGCATCGTTGAAGGGAAATCCAACGGTCACACACCCTCGACACGGAGTTGTGGACATCTACAGTGGCTTGGAGGTACCGGAATCAATTTCTGTAGGGCTTGCGACGTCGCATCCTCGAATGAGCTCACAGCAGGTTGGGAATATTGTGAATCCTGGTCCGGTTTTGACCACTCGAGCTCGTTCTGAGCACACCCCGAGCGTCTCAACATCACCAAATGCCCCTCACATTCCAGAGTCGGAGCGAAGTATGTCCAGCACTGTGCCAATTCACCTCTCAGATCCTCAAGCATCGGACACGGCGGCTTCCGATAAACCTGGGGGGTCTCACTGGATATATCAAAACTTTGCTTCGGGTGTTCCGTTTGTTCCGTCCTAACTCTATACAACAAAGATCTGACCTTAGGCTTTCAAGTGACGAGATTATCGTGCCAGACAATGTTCTTGATTTGGCAGACTCCGCTAATATGTAGGTGGCTGATTTCACGAAAGATAATTCTGATTTTCATGCCTCCATCCAGCAAGAACTCGAAACGCCGTAGAACTGTACCAAAAGACCAGCGCAAAAATACCAAAGTTCGCTCGTGCCGGCGCTGCCATCAGACGTCGTGTTCTGGAAACAGTGATATCTTGAACTGTGCAGTCGAGTGCAAGGTACCGTGTGCCAAATGTGGCCGGTTCACAGGCGTATCTGGGGAAATGATCCATCGCGAGGTTCAGATGGGAATGAGTGATGCGATGTATCAAAAGCTCTCATCAGAGTTTTCGCGATGCATTGCGTTAGAGTAAATACCTTTCCAGGAAGGCCTGCCGCGCACTCGGTTGGAAATCGGGCGGCGGCGCTATCCCGACATTTGAAGCTCGGGGCGCCCTCGGGTGGCGGTGCTCCCGCCTACTACCTTTTTCGGTACTTTTGTGCTATGGCTCCCCGGGATGCGGAAACGTCAAAGAATGTTATTACCATGCATGTTGGTGCGCACCGTGCTCCCTGAGCCCATATAGCATTCGCAAGAGCAGGAACGAGCCTTCTAAATCGGGGGTAATTGGCGTGCATCGTGTTGTTTGTTCTTGTTAGTGCGGCACTCGCCTCTCACTTGCCCTCGCTCCTTTGGCCGTTGTTTCCCCTCTCCGTCACTACAACCGCTCAGATATACTCTAGACCACCCTAATCTGCCACAGTCATCCATACCACCCTCTCTTCCCCCCCCTCTCCGCACCTGGCTTGGTCCAAATATTCTGCGCCCCTGGGCTCGCCGTAGCGCTGCGCCTGCCCCCACCTCCTTGTGAGCATCTCATCGTGTTGTTTGTCCCCCCGATATTCTCCTCCTCTAACCTCAGCCTCAGCCGCGTTTCCGTTCCTTCTCCGCGTCCGTTTTGGCCTCCCCCCGCCGTTCGGCTTCCAGCGCCCGGGCCCGCTCCTCCAGCTCCTTCGCAGCGCCGCGGGAGGATGTAATAAACCTACCAATGAGGATAGCGTATCATCTTCCCCACTGCGTGCTCCCTTTCACTCGCCACGGTTCGTTTGCACCCCCGCGCTTCCCCGCGCTCGCCCGCGTCCCTATACCGCTCCCAGCCGCTTCACGAGCCTCTGGGAGCCGAGGGGCATCTCACCCGCATCCCCACCGCAGGTCTCAGCCCTCCTCGCTCCGCAGCTCCGTGTCCACGTCGGTTTCGACCTTGCCCGCTTACCTGCACTCGCCCGGGCACTGCACCCACCCTACCCGCCTTTGCGAACATCTCAGAGCATAGCGTATCCATAACCCCTTCTCCTCCTCGAGCCTCAGCCCCTGCCTCGCCGCCCTTCCCTCTCCGCGCTCGTTTTGGCCTCCCCCCGCCGTTTGGTTTCCAGCGCTCGGCCCCGCTCCTCCAGCTCCTTTCCAGTGCCGCGGAACGATGGGATACACCTACCAATATAGATGGTATATCACCTTCCCCACTGCGCGCCCCCTTTCGCTCGCCACGGCTCGTTTGCGGCCCCCGTGCTTCCCCGCGCTCGCCCGCGCCCTGTACCGTTCCCAGCCGCTACGCGAGTCTCCGGGAGCCGAGGGGCATTTCACCCGCATACCCACCGCAAGTATCAGCTCTCGTCACTCCGCCGTTCCGTGCCTACGTCAGTTTCGGCCCCGCCCCCTTACCTGCACTCGCCCAGGCACTGCGCCCGACCTACCCGCCCATGCAGTTGTCTCATGGACTGTGTATTGCTCACTCCCATCTCCTTCTCGCACCTTAGCCCCAGCGTCGCCGCCGTTCCCTCTCCACGCCTGTTTTGGCATCCCCCCCGTGCTTGCCCTACCCCTATTCAGGCTCCTTGTATCCGTATCGTTCCTACCTTTTACTTACTACCTACACCTACCCCTCTTGTACCTTCCCCGGTAGATATCTGTACTTACTTTGTTTCTGGCACACAAAATCGACATTTTGCATTTGCTTAGGTGACTGTAAGAGGAAAAATTGAGACAATGTAGTCCTCCAACTAGGAAATGGCCTATGTGGTCATGATAGTGTAGTTGGTACTATGCCTTCTAACAATGTCTGTTGGTGGTTGCTGGTTCGAACCCGGCTTGGGACCTTGAGAATCTTTAATTGCTTTTTATTCTGGACAATCCCAATATTTTTCGGTAGTGTCGCGAAATTGATAAGTCAATGTACCAAGTCGATTCCAATTCTGCGAAGCATTTTTTCAAACAATAAAACAAAAACGGAAGCTACTTGAGGGATATCATCTTACGCCTTTCATCGTGCGTCTATCTACGCCTTTCTTCACCCCATTCATTTCCTAGCACGTCCTCGCCCTGTGTGATGCATTGTCAGCCCATGTCAACTCCTGGCTCGCAAACTGACACACCTTTTCTGTGGGGGGCCTTCATTCTCCTCTGTTAAATCCCGTGCCCAAAGCTAGCACAGAACCAACTGTGCCAAAAGGCCATTGTGACCAGATAATCTGGCCACAAGCTTTGGACTATATATACATGATTAAACACATTTGCATGCATTTAACATCCTCCTGCCCCTTCCGTTTTGCTTGCCCCTTCGACTTCTCCTTCAACATCTCCTTCGACTTCTCCAGTCGCTGCAGCAATGCTTCATCCGTCTCGTTCGGATTCTTCGGCGCACGCCTCTCTCCCTGGACGACCGAGTTGGGGAACAGGCGGCATTGGAGCCCCGGGTAGGCGGGGCAGTACGACGAGGTCGGAGCCCCCCGCCGGATTGCGAAGGAGGTCGGCCTTGGGGGCGGCATTCGCCTTCCGATCCCGTTCCCTCTCCATCGCCCGGATTTCCTTCCAGCGAGGGGTGTTCACTGCTGGATCCGGCGTGTCCAGCGGCAGCGGTATAACCTCCCCGTTGTCGCCATACGTTTGAAGGAACGCCAGCGGAGCTCTTCGCGCACGTCCACGAACGCCGACTTCCCCACCATTCACCTCTCCACCTTCTTCCTCCTCTGTCTCCCCCGCTTCGTCCTCGACACCCCGCCCTCCCGCTGCCTTCCTCGTTCCGCGTCCACGACCACTGGATTCTGGACCATCCCCTTCTCCACCTTCATCATCATCCGCTCCTGGTGTTTCACCCTCCACCCCTTGCTTTCCTCCTCCTCCTCCTCCCCCTCCTCCCCTACCGCCTCGCCCTTTCCCTTTCCCGCGCCCACGCCCTCGCCCTCGCCCTTGCCCGCGCCCGCGACCACCCTGCTCACCGCCAAATCCCCCCACTCTCGCGGTGGGATACGGCTTAGGTGGGTTCGCCATCGGTCTGGAGATGGGGTACTGAGGGCCCGCCAGCGGCTCCTCCTCCTCGCTACTGCTCTCCTCGTCCTCCTGCAACTTTCTGCGTGTCTCCATCGCGGCCTCCAATGCTGCACTCGAGGCCGCAATGGCGACCACATCCCCCCTCCCAGCAGAGACGGCCGCCCACGACGTTCTTGCAATGCGCGGAGGCAGCGGGGACGTATTCGGGGGCGAAGGGCGGCTCGCCACTGTCGAAGGCGGCGACATATTCGGGGGAGTCGGGTGGCGCACCGCCGTTGGAGCCGCAGCCTCCGTTGACAACGTCGCCATCGGGGGCTTGGGCAGGGTACGGTTAACCTCCGTGGCCTGCCCCACAGGAGTTGCGGGTAGCGAGGGACGTGTTGGCGGGGTCGGAGCTGGGGATCGCGGCGTAGCAGTCAGGGCTCGTTCTCCGGAAGGCAGAGCTGGTAAATGAAATGAGTCTCCACTCCAAACACAATCTAGAAGGTTACTCACCTCCGATCTCCCGATTCTCTGCGTGCACGCTGCTCAAATCAGGCGCGGCAAAGAACGCTGGTGGCTGAGGCGCAAATAATTCCGGCGTGGTTGCCAAGAACTGATCGAAATCATCGAAATTCAAGTTTTCTTCAGCCGACCAGCCGGCCAAGTCCATACCCTGCCCTTCCGTGGGCTGCAAGTCGTTTACCCCGGAGTCGAAGCCCCGTCCTTCGGTGTAACTGAAGACCGGCGCTCCTGAGTCATAGCCCGGGTGCTTTGCCCAGAAGGAGAGATCGTATGTCGTATTCGCGGTAGTCTGGGAGGTGTTGTCCATAGAGTCTGTGGTGATCTGGGAGAGGCCGTACGTCGAATCCACGGCGGTCTGGGAGAGGTTGTATGTCGAATCTACGGCAGTCTGGGATATGTCGTACGTCGATTCAGAATCCATAGTCTGGTGCAAATCGATCACCGTAGAGGAATGGAGAGGCAGCGAGAGCGAGGGCGGCGCCGGAGAGGAGATTGGAGTCGCAGATGAAGATGTGGTAGCCGCTGCAGCCGCAACAGTACTTGCCACCGCTGTCGTTCCCTTTGATCTTTTGGGCGCCTTGAATTCCGGGTTATCTTTCTGCTTCTTGGGCTTTGGCTTTGCAGGCGGCTCTTCAACATCGGCCTGGTCGTCTTCACCATCCGTCTTGACGGAGTCGACTGGGTCGGGCAGAGCCATGGCATCGCGAAGGGCTCGCGCTGTCACATAAGAAAGATATTAGTTTTAAATTTCGAATTCAATTAATAGATGACACTCACGGAAACGTCGCCTCAGAAACTCCACAAAAATGGAGCTTACGCCCTCGTTCCAGTCGGGATGCGAGTCTTTGAAAGTGTTGCCGTTTGGTGACCTTCCGCAAGAATATCTATGGACGCCCGTGATCAGTCAACACAGCCCAACACAACTTTGGAGTAACGTACACCACGACTCCAAGTGCACCTCCCGCTCGCGGCGTCGGGCCACAGAGCATTGTGAAGCCGACCCAACCTGTCTTCTCCATGATCAGACTGTGCAGCCGATCAATTATCCCTTCCAACTGGTCGATCGACCTAACAAAAATAATCAGCGCGACACTTCTGCAACTGCAACGAAACGACTTACAGCTGGGCCAACTCTGGCGTTAACTCGACATCCTCGGTCTTATTCTCCAACTTTGCTTTCTTGACTCTCTCCAGCTCCAACTTCACCTTCGTCTTCACGTCGTCCGTCTCGGCGTCAAACAACTTTTGACTCACAGCCCTCCTCGCCGACATCCTCGCTGACGCCTGTTGCTTGATTGTAGCCTTCAACGCGGGCGCTGGCTCTTCGCCCTCCATACCGACCCAATCAACATCGCTTTTGTGTATCGCCTCGAAATTCGCGTCCTTCAAGCCCGCCGTGACGCGCTCGGGATACAGCTTTTGGTACAACTCGACGAGCTGGGGGTCGCGATGGCGCCGTTTGTCTTTCCACAGTGCCGCGGAAATTGAAGCCGTGTCGTCTTTCTTCGCCGCGGTTGCACCTGATTTTCGCGACGTCGAGACGTGATTCCGGAACCAGGTGCGCAGTTGCTGGGGAGTTGAAAGGGTAAGTTATTTATTCGCCCGTTTTGACGCGTCACAGCGTGTTTGCTCACCTGTTTCCTTTTCTCGAGCGCCTGGCCCAACACTGCGGATTGTTGAGGCGTGAGGCTGGTGTCCGAATCATCCGCAGGTAAGCCCAAAACCGCTTCCTCTGGCCATTTTTTTAGCCACTCTGCGTCGATCTGCGTGAAGAAGCTGATTTGGTCTCCCTCGGACTTGCTCTTGATGTATTTGCCAACGCGCGCTTTAAGCCAAGCCAGCTGTTCGGTGTTGCTCCAGGGCTTAGGAGCCATTATCGTGAAGACGCACAAATAAGTAGGTGGTTCGGGGGAAGGTCAGGGACTATGTTTTTCATGTGCCAGATCTTCGCAACATTGTTGATCAAACCGTCGGATTTATATATTATTTTATCCAGATCATTTTATTTTCCCGTTTATCTTGCCCAAAGTATCCACCCCGCTGCGAGCTTGTGTTTATCACAGAATTCCTCGCCGCCCATTCCGTCGGTACCACCCTCGAAGTCTCTGTCACAAATTTGCAAATGCATAAGCCACACCTGTCATTTATTATTCCAGCGCACTCACCTTTCTCAGTGTTTCAATACCATCAATATTACTCTCGAGCACGTTGGACTCCCCCGTTGGCCAAACGCTCGTCCACTCTTCCTCCAGTGAGATCCAGAATTCGGAGACCTGGTTATCTCTCACAGCTTGCACGTAGTGTTGTATGCGCATGCCCAACCAGTTTTCCTGCTCGGCGGTGGTCCATAATCGTGGTCCCATATTTGGTGGGTGTGTTGTTTCGTGCCAAAAAATCTCATTTTAAATCTACATTTCCCCGAAGACCCAATCTTCGATCTAGCATCGCCAAATCGGGATTCCCAACTCGGTCCAACAAAACGCCCTCGCTGCGCCGTCTTCCATCAAGTAAGCACATGCACCACCTGCCAGAATGCTATCTTATAAATCTGGTCGCTTCTTCACTTCCTCCCTACCATGACTGAACAATCCACCCCCGCAGTCGCAAGCAGCGCCTCCAACCCCGAGAAGGAGTTGGAGGCGCTGCTTGCGACGGTTGCGGGCCTCGCGCAAATGTCGCTGGCGTTGGCCAAGCATTGCGTTGACCTTCAAAGTATGTCTTTTATCCGATCTACGTGCGGTCGTCTCAATTTCTTCCCAGCGCGCCTGCCCACCGTCTTCAACGCTGCAGTGAAGGCCAATGTTGCTACCATTGTCCGTACGTTCGCAGTCTGTCTGATCTCCCTCCCTTTTTTTGCTCATTGGTCCTACCTTCAGCTGCCGCACCCACCTGGATTGAGCTTGTCGCGCGCACTCCTGATCAGCTGGACGCTGCCCACCCTCCTGGATCCGGCGACGATGTCGCGTACCACGTCGTCACGGCTGGCCGGGAGCCTGGTCTATACACCAGTGTGTAAGTCCTGTCCTTTCATGCATGGCCTGTTTTACCTCACTGACTATCTCTTCCCAGCGCGGAATCGGACTACCAGGTCAACGGTGTTCCCATGGGCAAGCGACTCAAGAAGGGGAATCGTATCGAGGCCCTTGCCTACTACCGCACCAAGTACGCCAGCCAGGAGGTCCACAAGTGGGCGCCCGAGGATGAAGTCCTCGCCACCACTGCTTCCAACGCTGCCCGCCGCTAAGGTGTGACGATCTTTCTTTTTGACTTACGCCGCTCACCTTTTCCCTTTCTGGCTTTGTAGTATAGTTTATTGGAGCAGTTG